CATGTTTATCTCCCTCCTCCATCTCCTCCCCCCCCTCCTCCTCCTCTCCCTCCTCCCCCTCTCTCTCTCCCTCCCCAAAGGTATGCCCTTTAACATGGACATGTCAAGTCCTTTATTGTAAAATTCATTTTCCGTCTTCCAATTGATTTTGGGTTGAATGCTCACATTCTAATTTTGAAAATTTTGAACCAGGTACTCTAATTAACTGCGGCGCCGCCGTCAAATCCGAAATCGACGGCCGCGAATGGCTCCCGGACACCAGCTTCGTATCCGCAGGGACCCCGAGGAACTTAACGACCCCGGGCCTCGTCCCCATCCTCTCCACCGCCCGATCGTTCCCGAACAATCCCCACCGCAAGTTCTGCTACACCGTCCAGGTCTACCGCAAAGCTAAGTACATGGTCCGGACCACCTACTACTACTACGGCAACGGCTCGCCGCCGGTGTTCGACCAGATTGTTGACGGCACTATCTGGGCCGTCGTTAACACCACCGAAGACTACGCCAACGGCTTGTCGTCTTACTACGAGGGGGTCTTTCTCGCTCAGGGCAAGACCATGAGCGTCTGCCTCGGGTCGAACAATTACACCAAATCCGACCCCTTTATCTCCGCCCTGGAGTTTGTGATACTCGAAGACTCGCTCTACAACTCCACGGACTTCAAGTCGTACGGCCTCAGTTTGGTCTCCCGAAACAGCTTTGGGTACACCGGATCCATCATTCGGTATGCGCCTCTCTCTTTTGCTGTAGCTTGTAAAACTCTGTAAATTCAGTGACTTTTGAAGTCAAAGTTTGAGTGAGTTTAGAATCTAAAAATTGGGTTATCATCAGATACACAGATAACCAATTTGATCGATTTTGGGTGCCATTTGGAGGGCACATCCCATTTATGTTTTTGCATCACCGTATTGATTGCTGTTAGATGAGTTTAAATTTTAATTTTTGTGTAGTTTATAGATTAATTTGCATTCTTCTAATGACAATCAATGTGATGGTGAGCAAAAATGCACTGTTATCATTTGTTTAAGTTCTATATTTGTGTATTCAGTGACTTCGAAGTTAAATTTGTGAGATTTTAGTATCTGAAATTGGGTATTTTCAGATACCCAGATGACCAATTCGATCGATTTTGGGTGCCATTTGAAGAACACAATACAATGATTCCGATCAATGTGAGCAACTCAAATGCGTCTGTTTCTGGCATGTGGAATATGCCCCCTTTGAAAGTTTTTGAAAGGAAATTGACGACAGGAAAAACTGAGGCCATGGAGTTGAATTGGCCTCCTGGGTCGGTTCCTGAATCGAATTACTACATAGCTCTGTACTTTGCCTCAGGGGAGTCCACAGGGTCAAGAGTGTTGAACATTAGCATCAATGGTATTCCGTATTACAAGGATTTGGATGTGAAGCCAGAAGGGCTTGTTGTTTATGCGGCAAGGTGGCCTCTTTCTGGTTCTACCAGGATTACTTTGACCTCATCTGCCGGATCAAGTGGTGGTGCTTTGATTAATGCAGGCGAGGTGTTTGATGTGTTGCCCCTTGGAGGAACAACTCTTACTCGAGATGGTATGCTTATCCTTGGTGTTTTTGGTTTATATTTTAGTTTTGAACTTACTAATGTTAGAAATTTGTAAACAGACTTATTCAAATTGCAACATTAGATGCGATTTTGTTCCTAGGCTCAATGTAATACTTCATGGAGTTCCCTTTTCATATCGCAGTTATTGCTTTGCAAAGAGTAAAACAAAGTCTTCTGAACCCTCCACCTGACTGGAATGGTGATCCTTGTTTTCCCCGTCAGTACTCGTGGACAGGCATTACATGCTCTCCAGGCCCTCGAGTTCGTGTGGTCACTTTGTGAGTTGAAACCTGTCGTAATCATTTTTCATGCTCGATTTTTGTATTGCTTATAGTGTGCTTCCCTTTCTTTTTCCATCTCAACATGGCCAAAACTTACTTCTATTTCCTCATGCTTACAGAAATCTGACAAATACGGGCCTTTCAGGATCACTATCACCTAACATTGCCAACATGACCGCATTGTCTAATGTGTAGGTTCCTGAGAATTTAACTGTATTTAGTTTGTTCACAAGTATTGTTGAATGCCTGATTGACGATTTAGTACTTCTGACAGCTTGCTTGGGAAGAATAACTTTACAGGGCCTATTCCCGATCTAAGTTCGTTGAAGTTACTGGAGAAACTGTAAGTTGTGACAATTTACTTCCCACCGTTTGCCCTTGCCTCTTCATCATTTTATTTTTGAACTTGTAATGAACATTATGGCATATGGAAACATTGGCCACCATAAATGGTATTCTGGAAGTCAGTGGCCTGAAAGTTGAAACCATACTGCTTGTGGTGTGATTAAGTGATTAATAGTCTATTTTAGCGGTTTTTTGCTACTTTGTCATTGCATTGGTTGTCTCATCTGATTCCTGAATATTCTGAGTCTCCTTATTTTTGCCTGAAATGGCTTTCTCTGATCCAATTTTTCTTTTTCCCTCATTTAAGGCACTTGGAAGACAATCATTTCAGTGGAAATATCCCCTCATCGCTTGGGAGCATTGATAGGTTGCATGAACTGTAAGTGATGTCAAACAGTCAAAGTCGCTTCTTTCTTCTTACTTGGTATTAATTTGAGTTTATTAATTGCATTTTCTAAAATGTCTTTTGTATTGAAAAATGGATGAGAAGAATTTGGTTTCGCTATGTTATTATCGGTTCAAGCTCAAATATATGTATATTTTATACTGTTTAATTGTAGAATTGTTAGCGCTGTAATTTATTGGAGGCAAAAGTTAATTGTGACTGATTTGAAAATTTTATGGTGTAAAGTCAACTTGTGGTATAACCCCAGTACTGATACCTTTTGATTCTCCTGTAGTTGGAAACACCTACTTTTTAAAGCATATAAGAATCTGAATGGCTGCAACGAAAATGTGCATGTTCGGCGAGCTGTATATTACAGATGAATACATTAGGGCTTCCAGATGTTCTGTCTGTTTTGTTTGTCAGAAGCAAATACCATTAGAAGTGTATCATGGTCTAAACCTTGTGATTGACTAAGGATTCTCACTAAGTTCGGAAATATATGCACACACGGCACATTTATCTCTATACATAGGACTAATATGTAATGAATGCATACTGTTAATGCTTTCAATTCTCATGGAAGATATCTAAATCCTTTTTTTTTTTTTTTTCTGTTGGTTCAGACTTTTTGCCAATTATTATGCTCACAATGCTGTTAGATGACAGCACAGCTGGGCAAACTGTTTTTTTTTTTTCCTTTCTTTCATCTTGCACATGCGGTGATTCTGTGGTGATACTTGATGTTTCTGATTTCCTAACTTGCTTCCATGTCTCTTTCAGTTTCTTACAAAACAATAATTTGACTGGTGAAGTTCCAGATAGCCTTATTCGAAAATCGGGACTGGACCTAAGGTAGTTGAATTCCACTAGTCTTACCACTCGAACCTTAAGAATTGCACCTTAAGCTGATTGTTTTAATTTGCATTTCAGGACGTCTGGAAATTCTTTTTCAGCACAGCCACCTTCTTGAACAGCTAGTATTGTGCATTCAAAGGTAAATATCTTTTCCAAGAAACTTGATCCCAACTTTCAACATTAAGAGCTCTACAAAATTTGGACTGCAAAATTTCCCTTTGCCCGCTCTTTGGTCCTGCAGTCGAAAGTTCTTGCGCTTATCTTTAGTTTTGATGGGGTTTGAGACCTTCATTGAAATTTTACCCTACATTTTTATACCCGATTGTTCATATACGGTCACGTTGATCCGTAGTGTTTTTTGTGTAATTAGTTGATGCTCTTAAGTTGTCCATGTTTATTTTTCTTATTCTGTAATACACATTTTTTCCTTTCAAATGTACACCAGTGTATTGTTTGTAAAAGTTATATTTTTGTGAAGTGATTGATGTTGATCCTTTATTTACTTCGGTTAGGTGTATGGTTCCCTATTAAATTCACATATGTACTTTAGGCCAATAGGCAAAGTGCCAGTCTCTTTGCATCTAAATTTGAATTCCCGTCCTTGTGAATTAGAGTCGGGAATTCGACTCCCTGTTACATTCAAACCATGCATCAAAGAGAACCCTACGAATGTGGTCCTCTTCCCTTTCTTCATATGCTAAAAATAAGATTCCATGGTGGTTAAGGCCAAAAATAAGATTCCAAAAGCTGCAATGGCTCACATGTTGGACCCACCGAGTCACAGATGTGCATCTGCATCTTGCATGATTTTCTCACTTTCCTCCTTGCTTATTTGGGAGAGCCAGTTGGCAGATTAACTGTATGTACTTTTTGGACAATACAAAAAGCCAAAAGTTATTTAATATTACAGTTTAATGGTATTTTTCTTAGTTTGTAAGTGAAAGGTTTTAGGTTCGGTTTTCATCAAAAGCGAGATTTGAACCATATTATTACTTGCATATTGTGAGGTTTAACTCACTTCCCCACCTTTAGTGTAGATAATATCGTTTGTTCAAAAAAGCCAAAAGAAAAAAAAACAAATCAAAAGGCCAAAAGAAAAAAAAACAAATCAATCAAACAAATTTCTATTAATTTTGTGACAAAAAAATACTAGAAAAGTTAGCATTTACATTATGATTCTTCAAATTCACCATAATCAACACTGAGTGTATTCAATTGGGATTTTGAGAGATTTTAATTCTTTTAATGAATCTAGGAATATTCAATCAGAATTTTAAGTGATTCTTTGAAATTCAATTTGTGTTCAATTAAAATTTAAGATAGTTTATTAAAATCCTTAGAAATCCGAGTGTATTCAATTAGGATTTTAAAGAAGTTTATAACATTCCAGATATATTCAATTAAAAATTGATTTTAAAGAATTTGAGAAAGTTGAGCGGAATTTGAGAGATTTCGTAGAGTATTTTAAGCATCCACAAATCTCACCTCTCCCCGTGAGATTTCAAGGGAATTGAATCAAAATTTTATATGGAATCTTACAAATCAATTAAACTCCATAAAAATCCATGGATTTATAAATCCATTAAAGTCTCTTGAATTCTCAATTGAATACACCTCCTAAACATGGGAAAGAAATTTCAAATGAAAGAAAGAAAAAAATAAGGAGAAATTTGAGAAAACAATGAAAATCTGGATTTTCCAATATGCACGGGGATCCTTGGATGTTGGATCTTTGGCCGCACTCTTACGCCGGAGCACAATAGAGTTTTCATCTTACGGCGGAGAATAGTAGAGTTTGTATGAGACAATTAATCTTGCAGATCGGACCAACTTCTCTACCTCTCTAGTACTCTTCCTTTCCTGAGAGGAAACAAAGGTGGCAAGGCACTGCTCTTCACATGCGTGCAAATTGGCACATTTACCATCGGCCTTATTCTTATGCTTGCGGATCTTGTTCGTTCCAACCCTTTCTTTATCCTCTTCATATACTTCTCTTTGTTCCCTTCCTTCTCTTGATCCGTCGTCGTAGCTATATCCGCCAACGAGTTCGAGGAAGAAGAGGAAGACGAGGACGAGGAAGATGGGGACAATGTCGAAGCGCGTTGCTTCTTCAGTCTCAGTAGCTCCTTCCACAAAACCGTGCACTTAGGCGGCCTTGGAGATGGATCGTCGTCCACAAACCAACTCCCCCGGCTCTCCTCCTTGTTCACCCCCTCCTCATTCTCGTCTCCCTCGACGTCCTTGGTGTTGAGGTTGAGCTTCGTGAGCCGTTCGGCGTGCTGCTTTTGCCAAAAGGGAAGGAGCTTCCCTTCGAAAAATAGCTCATCTGCAGACAACATGGCATGGCTACTCACATTGCTCGAGAGAAACTCAAAATCCGGGTTACGTACCTTTTGGTGATCACCACCCTCCATTTTTTTATCTTGTACTTCGCCGCGCAAATTCGGGGTGATGGAGATGAAGTTGTTCTCGTCGAGGAACTCGGCGGAGAACGAAATCCGCGGACTCGAAGACATGTCGACGGATCTAGGGGTTGCCTGAACAATTTCTAGGGATCCCATTTTTGTGGTAGTGAAAGAGTGGTTTTGAGCAAATGCATGAGGGTATGTGATATATATAAAGGGAAGGAAGAGATGGTTTATTGATGTTAATTTTTAAGTTAAAGTGTTAATCTGTGTGTTATGTGATTGCTAATTGGGCAATAATTATCGTTTGGATTATAAAAGTTAGGTGGTCTGGTGGAGGCGAAACATGAGAGCTCAGGTGGTGTTTAGAATATAGAAGCAGGCACATGGACAACTTCACCATATTGGGAACTCAATAAAGACAACAAATTTATATATTACCATAGTTTGTCATGCAATTCTAACTAGTGTTTTCTTTCTTGTTCTTCTAAAACCCCAAATTTGATTAGAAAAGGTGCAAAGTAACTTCCTGGAAAAGGGTTTAACCTGTGCTTTTTGAAGAATGGAAACTTTTTCTTTTGTTTGAACCCTTAGTGCTCATATGATTTATTCAATTCAACCGCTAGAGAAAAAGAGGGAGTTTGAGAGGAGAAAAAAGTGAGCGTGAAAATCATTTTCCTATAAATTATACAAAAGGAGAAGACATTTTCTTTTGTTAGACAGTCTGACATATTATACCATTAGATTTGTTGATTTGAACAATGCATCACGTTACATATAATTTAGATTCATGTATTATAATATAACATGTCAGATATCTACGATTTCTTTTGAAAAAAATTTAACTATATATCTATATTGCATTAGATGGGTACATTGAGAAAATTGTGGTTGTCTTAGATGAAAATTATGAGAGAAATTAGAAAAATTTTGTTACTTAAATAGAATATGAGAAGTGATTTTCACACGTCTTTTTTTATATTTCTAATCATCAAATTGAATAAACTAAACTGAATCAACTGACATGATTAAAGAGAAGTATATAAAAGATTAAAAAGGGTATTATGTGTTTATCATTTTCGAATAAAAGATAATCTTAAAGCTTTTCATGCTTTGTCTTTTTATTGTTTTGTAGGTATTAGATTAGGGTAAATCCTATGAACCTTGCAAGATACATGTGATTATGTTGGAGAGGGGGATCTTTTGCTTTTTTCAAATTTAAAACAGCACATTGGTGCAGGAAACTTTAAATTACGATTATCTCATGGATTAGTGGTAATTAATCTAAATGAGTTTGGATTAGTCAAAGAGCGATTTGACTCCCCTGCTTACAGGGGGAGAATAAGTTATAACATGTTAGTTAGGGGTCCCAAGCATGTGGCCGCATGTGCCATTCTGAATCATAGATACATTTTTATGACCAAACTACCCTTCCATAGGGTTTGCCTCTTTCTGGTATTTCATGTGAATTCCCCTATCTTGGGTTGGTTTTCTTGTCATTTTGAAAGGTTTTTGAAGTGGTTGATATCATGCCAATAGCTTAAAAAGCTTCCATTAAGATTTGGGGAGTTATAATTATAATTAAATCAGGACAGCTAATGAATATTTTTTAGGGTAAATCACTAAATCTAATTATTATTAAGTATTGGGGTTGTTGTGTGGTCCTTCAGTGTCCTGTATTATATGCCTTTGTTGTAAGACTGAGGGAGACAATAATGTCTCAAAGTGTTTACTCATCTAATAAACAACATTAACCACCATGTGATACCCAAATTATTTCTTGATTTTAACAGTCATCAATAAATGCCAGCATTTGCATCACAAGTCATAAGGCTCGTTTGAAAGTACTTTTATAATTACTGAAAATGCTTTTGGAGAAGAAAAATTTTGGGTTTCAAAAGTAGAAGCACTTCAAGTGATTTTTTTTAGGATTTACTTGCATTTTTACTAATAATTGATTCCAAATAAAAATTTCATCAAAAAACTATTAGTCAATTTAAAAGCAATTTCAAACGAGCTATAGTTGGTGAAACCAAAGAGAATTAGGTATGTAGATTAAAATTAATATTAAAAAATGTATGATTATATTAAGAAAATATAGCACAACCATTACAATTTTTTGGAAAAAAAAAATCTCTCAAATAAACTTATTTGAGAGATTCCTCGATTATAAATATGTGATATGTTGATTGTCACTACAAATAAGTTTGACCTTACTCAAGACTTTCCTTGTAACTAGGTGGTTAATATGGTAAAGGTCTGTTTGAGACTGTTTTTGGAGAGGTTAATAACACTTCCTAACTTATAAGTGTTTTTGGTTGATATAGAAGTGTTTTGGAAAAGTATCTGCCAAGTATTAGAAACACTTCCTAAATGCTTTTCCTTAAAATACTTTGGAATTCTAATAAAAATTTCTCATTTTTTCAACCATGTTTCCTACTTAAGTAGTTTCAGACGATTGATAAATCGTAAATAACTTCTGATGTTATGTACCTCAAACATAATGTTCAAGTGCGAGATGATTGCCACATGAGTCTATAACTTTCTACATCTAATTGTCTAACATGTGACATAAGGCTCGTGTCTAGCTAGACCATATGATTAACATAATTTTCTTCATCTAACGGTTCCAATAGCGTTCGTATATGAATCACCTTGTGAAATCGAAGGCTAGTACGTACTTGTTACTATTTATGTATAGTGTTGTGACATACAATAGTAAAGGATAAAGACACAAGAACATAGTACCCTTCCTATCTGTCACATACGCGACCCGTTGGATTGTGTAAGTTTGTAACCTTGGAGGAAGGGAACCACAAATTTTGATATGTTTTAGACGTACTTACTTTTGCAAGAAGGATTAAATGCACGCAAAAGATAAAAGAGGTTATTCGTTGGAGGTCATAACTCAATCCTAGTTATGGCATCCTTTTTAAATCCTGCCCGCTCTCTTTCGTTTTAATTTATTCAATTGGACGACTAAAAAAGAGAAATAGTGTATGAGATAAAAAAAAGTGTGCAGAAATCACCACTCGAAATAAAAAATCGGAGGCAAAGCAATGTGGGTGCCTAACTGTTGTGGGGGACCATTAATTATTAGCATGGAGATGATAGACCACTGTATTAATTAAAGATTAAGTGGAGGTTTACTCTGGTTTCATGCAAATCCCAGCTGTTAAATACTCCATCATGGAGCTCTAGAGGGAGAGAGAGAGAGAGATTTAATTTCTTTTACTATGTGTTTGTTTAATTACTTTCAGTTGGATACCTAACACTGTAATTTGTAAGACTCAGTCCAGACAGTATAATATATAGGTTTGGTGGATTGAAATTGAATCATCTTCTGCAAGTGATGCGTTAAGTACTCAGCAAACAGAAAAATAAACAAAAAGGAAAGGTAGCTTAATTAAGCAATACATGAAATGGTTTCTATTTAATAAAGGACTTGTCTCGCAGTGGTTGTACATATCAAAAACCTGTTATCAGTTAAAAAGTTTTTCCGAGTGTAAAGATACTTTTAGTGGTTCATGAACAGAGTACTTTTGTTATAATTCTAACAACAACAAAAACTCTGGGACGATTGTAAAGAAATGTTCCACAACTGAAGTTTATTGTCACTTACTTAAAAACTGCTTATAATTACAAGTGAATCCTACAAAAGCGCTCTCTAACCCGGCCTATTTGTTAGCATTATAATAGAAATATTTGAGGGACGGAGAAAGTTTAGGCAAAACCGGATGGGTGGATTTGAATGTAGTTGCGGTTAGCAAGGCCCAAAAACCTGACTAGAGTATCTCTCCTGCAGTGTAGCATGATCATTTTCATCGGGCCGTGATCATAGGATTACTTAAAGGAGGAGTGTAAATTAATCTCTGCCTCCGACCAAAAAAATATAAAAAAATCTCTGCATGCAGTCTTTCAAGTTTCAACGAGATCTTCTGCTATGAATCATTTTGGAAGCTGCACTCTTCTTACCAGGACTGTCTTTGAGATTTTAGAGGTTCTATACAAAATTTGTAAAAGAGGCCTACCTTAAGATAATTTTAAGTTTTTAAAAAATTATGATAATGTATTGATACTAAAAAACATTCACTTAAATCAAAACAAAGCTACTTAATACTACAATCTAGTGGTATTCCTCTTCACTTGTAAATGAGAGGTCTTAGATTCTATTCTCACCAAAGGCGAATTTGAACCACATTATTGTTAGCTCATTGTGAGGCTTAACCCACTCTCCTACCCCTTAGTGTAGATACTATCGTTTGTTAAAAAAAAGAAAATCAAAACAAACTTTAGTACTCATTGATTATATGGTTGCAAATGTCCTTAATGATAAGTAAAAAGCGTTACAAACATAACATTCACTAAATAATCAAAAGCAATTTTATCTTAAACAACCAAACATGAAATAAAACTTCAAACCTCTAACTTTAAAGTTTCACTTGAATATATAACATTGTTATATAATAAAATTAAGAAATTGTCATTTTTAGGATGTTATTATTGACACTCAAAATATCTCATTGTACTCCAAGTTTTTATATTTAGAAAGAAAAAAAAATACTCTTATAAAGTATGTACAATGCGGTTTTAAAGTGCTAACAAAATCAATTTTTGAATATAGAACATAAACGTGATGTTAGATGGCAAAAATTTAGGGGCCCCTTCAAATTTGAGGCCATGTGCGACTGCACATTTTGCTTCCTCTTAACGCCCCCTTTGACTTTGTCACCTTCAAATAATTCCACTACTTGATGAGAACTTTTTACTACTACAATATTAGCTTTAGGTGGCGGATGATGGTGCCGGATTTAGAAAAATATTGTCGGATAAATTATATCCGACACATCATTTAATTAGTGGTGGATATTAGAAAAATCTTTTTGGTTATATCCAACATAAATTCCTGGTGGATATTATAAAACTCATGTCGGTTATAACCGACAATATTTTTGAATTTTAAAAAAATATTTTTGACAGATTCTGGTGGTTTTTAAGTTACTGGTGGCGGTTTTTAGGTTAATGGTGGTGGTTATAACCGACAACAATTGATTATTTTATTATTTTAGTATTCTGACGGTTATTATTTTAGTATTGTGTTAGTTATAATCGATAAAAATTCACTTTACACCAAACGCTTTTCAATTTGTTGTTCCTTCAGATTTCGTTTTCTTCCTCATCTTCATTTTACTCGTTTTCTCTTCATCTTCAATCTTTCTCTTATTCTCCCCTCAATTTGTAAGTTTTTCAATTCTTTTGCTTCATATTTTAAAATGTTATATTGATTATAAATAAATAAATAAACAAATGGTTTAAATATTTTTTTTTCACTCACAGTCCCGTTACCTAATTTCTGAATGTTTTTTTTCTGATTTTTTACACATGCTATCTTGGAGTATATACAAA